AGAGTAGGATAACCACTGTCCAAAACCATTAAAAAGATCAAAATCGTCGCTAGGTTCTTCTATTCTTTAATTTAGATTGGTTTTAAAGTTTTTTAGGCAGTACATTTTTCTTTAAACAATAAAAGGTTTTTACCAATTGGAAACACTTCTTTTTCAAATTGCCTGACTTTGGCAGTTTTAAAAGACTGGAATTTTTACTGCCAGACGAAGACTTAAAACCTGCTTTTCTCGGAGACTTGCAGTACCCCCGAGATCAGCAAGATATAATCTTCCTGTTCACCATCTCTTCGGGATGATTTAGGTCAGTTAGAACCCCCCAGCAATAAAAGTATCGAGTGCGATCTCAGAGCTTTGAGATTGCACGTCGTCTCGTCACGGCCTCCAGGGTCTGCCCCCCCTTCCTGGTACAAATCTTTAGTATAAACTAACATTACAGGGAATTCAGTTTCATAATGGTGATATTCCTTAAATCTGACAGTGATATTACATACAATTGCAGGTAGAAAAACATTTGATTATTACAGCCAATCTCAATAAAAATAATTTTAACTTTACTGTGAAATTGATTTCCTGGTCTGGTTTAGAGGGCCAGAATATGGGTTGTGCTTGATATAAGTTGCTCAGATTCGTTCAGCAGCTCAGTGGTTTCCAAATATAATAAAATAATTATTAAAGCCTAGCTCTTCTTGGTCCTTTGCTAATTTTGATGTCATCAATCATCCTTCTGGAAGAGCACAGGGGGTTGGGAATAAGGTCATGGTCTTGATGAAGTTCTCTTTCTTCCTTTAGTGCTGGTTCCAGTTAGATGGGAGGACAGAGACTATGTTCTTCCTGTGTGGATACTTCTGGGCTCCTCAATAACCTTGTACTTGCTTTTCATTTACATGGCACTACTGGGAAAGATCATCCACAGCATGATATTAGACCAGCGATGGCGAATCTTTTTTGGCTCACATGCCATAAGTGGAGGGAGCGCAGGGGGATCATGTGCGGGCACGCCACACCCATAATGCAATGTGTGACACACACACCCAGTGTGCATGCACGCACTATAGGAGCTCCCCCCCATTTTTTCCATGCTTTTTTTGTCCTACCCAGGTTTCAGAAGTTTTATAGGAGCTTGGGGAGAACGAAACAATCTCCCTCGCCCCTCCGGAAGCCCTTCCGGAGACTTCAGGTACCTTCATGAGGCTTTCCTGAAGCCTCTGGAGCAATCAAAACGACCCTCTGAGCAAACCGGAAGTCCGTTCCTGAACTTCCGGTTTGCCCGTAGGGCCAGTTTTTGCGCTCTGAAAGCTTCAGGGAAGCTCATGAAGCCTCCGGAGGAACCCGGAGAGGTGGGGAGGCTCTTTTCACCCTCCCCAGGCTCCTATAAAGTCTCTAGAGCTTGGGGAGGGCAAAAATAGCTTTAAAAGAGGGTGAACTCAACTGGCCAGAGCACACATGCATGCTGGCTAGCTGACAGGGCAGCGCCTTGTGTGCCCTGACAAATGGCTCCACGTGCCACCTATGGCACGTGTGCCATGGGCCTGCCATCTGTATTAGACAATATCAATATGCTGACAATATCCAGTTACATATCTAAACTCTGAGCCAACCAAGTGATACTGTCAAGCTTCAATTTCAATAGCTAGAGGCTAGGAGAGTTTGGATGGAAATGTATTTATGCTTAACACTTGATAAAAGAAATGACTGTGAATTTGGAGGGGCATTCAGTTCCAGAGATATTTTTATATAGGGCTATGCTATCCCAGACTGAAGTGGGAGGTTCCTATAGACTTCTGGTTCCACAAATCATCTTGTGTGATAAGTGCGCCCATTTATGAATTGGGAGCTCTATTCACAGTCATTGGCATTCTAGTTATGTGTTATCTCTATTACTACAATGTTGTCTTTTAAAGCCACTTAGAAATTACATTTGAATATTTAATTGTTCAATAGAATGTGTAAAAGATTGTTAAAGCATAAATAGTTATGGGTGCTCTTGTATACTCTTGTGTAACAATGGAAACATGTAAGTCCACTATGACCAATGGAGGCCAAGTTACAATTCAAGATGGAAGTCTGATAATTTTCATAATTGTCATGCTTCAATTACCTCTCCCTATCCAATATGATCTAACAAGATTAGTATTAGTATTCCATAAAAAGCCACGTCTTTTCTGTTGCAGCACCAGTCTTTTGGAATTGCCTTCTCTTCCTCAAATATGTTTGATTCCAACCCTATCAGCCCAAGGAAGGTCCTGAAGGTCTTTGTCTTCCTCCAGGAACTGGTCTAATTGTAACTACAGGTAGTTCTCAACTTACAACAGTTTATTTAGTGACCATTTGAAATTACAACATCACTGAAAATAATGTATGACCATTTTTCACACTTATATGATAACTGTTGCAGCATCCTCATGGTCACAGAATCAAAATTCAAGTGCTTGAGAACTGATTCATATTTATGATGGTTGCAGTGTCCCAGTGTGACTACCATTTTCAATCTTCTCATAAGCAAAGTTAATGGGAAGCTAGATTCTCTTAACACTTAAGATTGTAAAATGGAGCAAAACCCACTTAACAAATGTCTCGCTTAGAAACAGAAATTTTGGGCTCAAGGATTTCCTGTATACTCATTGTCAGGACTGTAATTTTATCACTTACTTTCATTTAATACTTTTAACTTTTGTTAACTATCCAAATGCTTCTGGCAAATGGATAGTTCTATGGACGGATGGACGGAAGGAAGGGAGGAAGGAAGGAAAGGAGGAAGGGAGGGAGGGAGTAAATGAGCTTCTGCAGGATCGTTTGTTGTAATATTCTGTGGGAGTACATATCATGTGAATTCATAACTTAATTAGATAGGGAGCCTTTTAAAATTTCACCTATATTTCTCCATGTTGGTAAAGTGTTTATAATGCTTTATGAAGAATAAAGGATAACTTTACATTAGTCAAAATCTGTATTTCATAAACAAATTGTTCTTTAAAATTACTATTTATAAATTGAAAAATACTAATAAGGTTAAGAAAATTTTCAGATTTATAGATAGAAATATTTGATAATTTACTTTGTATTTTGTGTCATGTACTGATATGATCTGTGAGGACCCACCAAGGATTTTGATCAGACATACAGGTAGTTTTTATTTAATGTCCATTTGTTCAACCACTGCTTGAAGTTAGGATAGAGATGAAGGGACTTACAAGTAATCCTTAAAGTTCCTTATTGGTTTCTTATTTTGCACACTAGTTAAATAAACTTGGTATGTGAGAAAAGGCCCCATCTGTCACACATTGGCCTTCTTTCACAAAAGAAAGCCCTGGCTGGCATGTGAACAGAAGCCCTGGGCAGGGCATGAAACACGTCCTAGCTATACCAGTATGAAAAAAGACAGCATGAAAGAAAGTCCTGGGAAATGTGCAATGCAATGGTGGCAGATATAGTTGGGCAGCTGGATGGTCAGGCATCTAAAAGGACATAAATGGAAGTAGATAAGACAGGTGAGGAGAATTCAAGAAGAGGGAGCCTATCATTTTACCGAGGCTCATGCTGGAAGACTAAGCAGAAATGACTTAGAGAAAGGTGGATCCCCAGTGGTATTCACTTAATCATGGCAATGGAGACTGCTGGGGTTGCCAATGACAAAACGATGTGGTCATGTGATATCACACTTTAAGATTGCAGTGTTTAGCGACAGAAATTTCAGTTACAATTATCTTGGCTTAACTGAGGGCTACCTATATTACATTGTAATAAAACCTACTATTAACTCAATATTTACAGATTTCCAATAACCAGTAACATTTCAAATAAACATCAATATAGATTATTTTGTGAGATCATTTTAAAAGACTTCAATTTCAATAAATGCATCCCAGAATTATTTTTAATCAATATTATAAACTGTTTTAATCTTATCAAACTCTGGCACTATAGCCTCCTATTGTGGTACTGTTATTAATACTATTATCCATTTAAAATAGTGGTTACTTTAACTTTTACTTGCTCTTACTTTCAAAGCAAAGAAATGTAAGCATACTTATGATACATAATATACTACACCATCTAACAATAAGTAGCCTCTAACTTTAACCCTAAAAAAAGAAAAAAACCTCAAAGTCTGAAACACTTACTTTTGTGGTATATATTTGATCATGCTTGATCATTTCATCACTGGGCAAGGTTCTCACTGTAATAGATTCAGATGTAGCAGCTGCTTCTCTTTGAAAGCTATGTAGGGACACTTCTTCTGTTTGCAATTGGTTAATATTCAAACCTTCTTGTATCAATTCTTCATCTTTGACTTTTATGTTTTTCTTCTTCTTCAATGCATTCTGTTGTTCAGCGTATGCTTGTTGTTGTCTATACTTTGCCACCTGAACATAAAATAAAATCATGTTAGAGCACACATGGGCATTTTATAATCTGTGGGCCATATCCCGCCCTTTAAAGGTCCTTGCCTGGCCAAAGAGACAATGGCAGGATGGCAGTGGTGGGAAGGAAGTGGGATGGAGGTAGCAGCCCTCCCCAACAGCCCTAGTTTCTCATTTGTCTCCTGGGAAAATTGTCAGCCTGTGTTAGAATGGAAGACTTCTAATAAATTATATACGATTAATAGCTTTTGCTGTCAGGAAATTTCCCCTTAGTTCTAGGTTGGTTCCCTTCTTGATTAATTCCATCCATTGCTTTTTGTCCTACCTTCATGTGCTTTGTTGCCACCCCTAAATATTGGAACACTGCTATTGTGTCTCACACACTCAATCCCTCTTTTATTTAGCCTAGACATACCCAATTCCTGCAACTGTTCTTTGTATGTTGACATCTGGTTGAGGAGTGTAAAAACAAAGCTCAGATCCTGATTATTTGAGCTCTGTTCTTGTCCCTATTGAAGGCTTCTCTTGGCAGTTCTTTCAACCAGCCCTCAAAGACAAGAAGGAGCCAAAATTCAAGCCGGACTTTTAGCTCCTGAGTGAACACAGTAAAGAATGTGGTGTGCCTTAAGCGAGTGGAGAAAGTCCCAGGAGGCCCAGAGTAGGCCACATAAACAAGTTAGGGGTACTGAGAATCCTGCTGGGATTTCAGGAGGGAGGATTTTCAGCTCCTATGCTCCTTATCTGGGACTCTGTTCATTTAATGACCCACACAATCACTTAATGACAGCAAATTAGAATGTCACAATTGCTGTTATTGAGCATAGCAGTCCACATAGACATTTTTGTGAGCTTCGCTTAACAACCTTTTCGCTTAGCAACAGATTCTGGGCTTAAATTTAAGCAATCCCTGCTTAAATTTCAGATATACATTTATGGATTAAATAAATAATCCCGTTACAGCAGTTAAATAACCTCTACTGTGCACATAGCTTACATTACACCAAGTAGAGTTTGCAGTGGTGTATACAGGTTTAATTACCAATTTTTCAGTGGCCTTATTCAACTTCCTCTGCTGTATAGTGCGTTTACATTATAAACCTGACTTAGGGCAGTACATTTTTTGCCTTGGCTTTCAAGGCACCTATTTATAGAGCAAGACAGAATAACTTGCGATTCCTACAGCCACATGCCATTCCTTGCTCTTCTAAAATATAGATACCAGTTGGGACCTGTGGCATTTCCAAGGCATGTACAACCTCTTGCCAAGAGCAAAAGCTGTTCCCCAGCCAATGGCCTTGATACATATCACAAGCAGGGAAGAAAGCGCCTTGCTCTGGAGCCTACGATTTGCGCGGAGAGGACCCCAAATGCAGGAATGACAGTTCCAACACACACACACACACAAACACACAAAAAAGAGTCATACACAAAGGAAAGCGCAACACGGAAAAGTCGCCAGGAACGCCTCGCTCTCTCAGCCACCCACCACTGAGCTTTATTAACTCTGCTGCCGCTCCTGACAGCGGGAAGGGGGCATACGGGCAATATATATATATTAGTTACGGAAAAAGGGGGCGGGGCCGGCAAGCTTTATGTTCCTTACCACCCATGAAGCCCAAGCCGCCCACGTCACCATCTATTTCTCTCACCTCACCCCCTCACCCGTGACCGCGACCAGGTTTGCCACCTGGCAGCCTTCGCACCCTGCGCTCCCTCCCGCCCTCCCTTCTCGCCTTACCATGGCTCTGCCCATCGCTATCTTCCTCTGTCTCTCCTCCTCATCCATTGGTTTTGCATTTCTTCTATACTTTGCCACCTGAACATAAAATAAAATCATGCGCATTTTATAATCTGTGGGCCATATCCTGCCCTTTAAAGGTCCTTGCCTGACCAAGGAGGCAGTGGCAGGATGGCAGTGGTGGGAAGGAAATGGGATGGAGGTAGCAGCCCTCCCCAACAGCCCTAGTTTCTCATTTGTCTCCTGGGAAAATTGTCAGCCTGTGTTAGAATGAAAGACTTCTAATAAATTATATATGAAAGTATTTTCTTAAATGTATGATGCTCTACATAAACTTGCAATCTAACTGTAAGTTAACTCAGACCAAAGGTCGATAGTTAGTTTTTTTAATGCAAAGTTTGAAAATAACATCAGAAGAAGTTGTAGTACAATAAGAGAATCAGTATGTAACCTATTTAATATATATCTTGAATGCTGGGCCTCCGCACCGCTGCTTAGCAGTTCGATTCCAGTGAGTGAATAAACTGCAGGAGGACAAGAAAGGAGCTCCCCCAATTGCCTACTGGCATTCAGGTGTATCGCAGGTAAAGATAACACTACCAGAAAAAAATCCTTTCACAGAGAGAGCCAACCACTTTGGTGATCCCTGGCTAACACATGCCATATGCTAAATAAATTAATAAACTGTATTGTCATCAACTTTTTATTTCCCTTGCAGGCAAATACAAAAAACCACCAATGTATCTGAACTTTAAACTTCAGAAAATGTATTTTGACTTCATTCTTATGAATGTCAACATTTTTGATGCCATACAGAGAGAAGGGGGGGGGGGGGCATACAGACACAGACAGACAGACAGAAGCAAGCAGACATCCTTACTATTTATGAGTTAAGAAATACAAATGTATCCTGCCATTTGAATAAACAAAAACAGTTGAGAAAAAATTTGGAAAAATGAAGTATTGGCAAATCAGGCACAAATATTGCATATGCGTCTGAAATAAAATAATTTTTGCAGTCCCATTGCCTGGAGTAGTGACAGTCCAGCATTCCCATTCACAGGAGAAGCTTGAGATTTGTAGAACAAAAATATTCACCTATATATTTAGCCCTTGCTAGCTCTTAGTCTTCTTTGCCTATTAGATTACCCAATTAACTAATTTGTTTTTTATGCCACCTATCTCACCTATAAAGTGACCTCGGATGGCTTAGCATTTTTCTAATTTTAAAATTGCAACACTTATTTAATGAAATCTTATGAAAACCTAACTATTTCATGGAGGGAGAGAGGAAGAAAAACAGGATAAATTTCCTTAGCTTTCTTTCCAGTTACTCCATTCAGCTATCTCCATCAAGCTTAGAGTAAGCACAAGAGACTTACTTTCATAGCAAAAGATACTTCCTATTCTCTGAAACTATTGTTATTATAGATATTTAACATCAATATTAGCAAAAGCCTGCAAATCTGCTCATCTTAATCTTATTAATTACAATTACAGAGACATTTTTATTATATCAGATATATTTATTAATTACAATCAATAAATATATGCGTGTCTTATGTGACTGATTCTCAAGATCAAGCAATCTGGTTTTTAAATGATTAAATAAATGAATTTAAGTTTTAAATGGTTCCACATTTAAAGTATCTACTATAACTCAATTAAATTGTAATTAAATGTTGAATTATTGTGACCATTTAATATGTCAATAGCAAAAGAATGGGGAAATGTGACTATTACAAGGCAGTCCTTAACTTAACCATTCATTGTGACTATTCAAAGTGACCTATGACTGTTCTTCACACTTATGACCACTGCAGCATCCCCATGGTCATGTGATGAAAATTAAGGCAACTGGCATGTCTTTACAATGCTTGCAGTATTCTAGGGCATGCAACTATCAATTGCAATCTTCCTAGCTGGTTTTTAACAAGCAATGTCAATGGGGAATAGCCAGATTTTCTTAATGACTCTGTGAATCACTTAACATCTGCAGTAATTTGCTTAATAATTGTGGCAAAAAAGGTTGTAAAACTGTGCACAAATTAAAAAGCCATCTTGCATAGCAAAAGAAATATAGTCCCAGCTGTGGTCATAAGTCAAGCACTATCTGTACTAGCAATCTGAAATTACTAATAAGATATTTAACGAAGGTTAACAAATCAAAGGTTTTTTTGGGCGGGGAGGAGAGAGAATCTGTTTTAAACAGCTCCAGGATACCAAGTAAGACCATTGCCAAGTCAAGTTTGGCTCCTGGTTACTGCATGCATAGAAGTACTCTAGCCGTATAAGAGAAGCAGTTGCCACTATTTTCTTCCAAAATATTTTTTTTTGATAACGTCATAAGTAGCTACGTGCAGCCAAGAGCTAATTTTCACACACAACTGCAATTTGACTGCATGGCAAACCTGAGACAACACTACAATGAGGAAGACTTATTTGGAAGGAAGTGCCAATAAAAGTGCCACGATTTCACTGCAAGTTTTGTTTATAACCCCTATCACATAAAGAATGGATGACTGTCCTAATCCATCTCTGCCTGCACTGATTTCACTTCATTTCCATTGAAAGGAACAGGTGCTGTTGGCATGTTGAGTTAATTACCGGTAGTCATCTGACAGACAGTTAGCCTTTTTGAATCTGCCTGAATAATGTGCCATTATTTATTATCTTCCCTCAGCAACATAATCTTATTTCTCAAAAGCACTCACATAAATGCTCTCAATTTATTGTACCATGTCATCATACCTTTGTGCAAACAGTAATATTATGTTCATATATGTATTAGCTTTTAATTCAGCCAGTGGATAATTGACAGGAAATGTTATAAACTGAATCATACACCTCTTTCTGTTTCCCACACTTTTCCTTAGTCATACTCTCTCACCCTCCCAGCATTTTTCTGCTCTGGAATATTCTGTATACCAATAGAAAATCCAGTTAAGACGATGAGAAAGAAATCAGTAGACAAGTTTATGGACTATAATAGAAACAAATTTGGTCCTGTTTTTAATAATAATCTTAAAATAAATCTGAACAATATAAAAATAGCACAAGACCTATCTAACAGACTCAATCTTGCACTGGCACGTGCTTACATCTTACCTCTATTGTCTTGCTTTGTTTGCTCAAATTTCCACTGCTGACAGAGAGTTAGCAGTAAGAAAATTCATCACCAAGAGCAGCGTGTGGCAATAGGAATGATGGAGAAGTTGCCATAATTTAATCATTTTTAAAAAGACTTCTAAAATGCATTGTACAGCCTGAATAGTATTTACAGATACTTTATGATTAATAGAAATTTGAATAGTGCAATATTGTGACTTACAGTGCAAATTATTAATAGATTCAAGCTCATATCCAATGTAAGCCAAAATTCAGTTAGTATGAGAGTAACATAGGGGCTAGCATGTAGTTACCATTGGGGTTTTAGATACTAATTGTCCTTTGGGCAAATTGAAGAAAAGGAAGAGCCCATTCAAGAAAAGTTCAGAAAACAAGAGGCCGATTTGAAGAACTATAGCAGAATGCCTGAGTTAGCAATATGTAGCAACTTTGTATAGGACTTTGTATTCCTTTATTATTACATAGTATTTCATAAATAAACATATATAAATTTAGGTTTCTAAAGCTGGAACCAATTATCCCCTTTTCCATAAAAATACTATTTGAAATAGTGCAAATTTAAATAATGTGACTATTTCATGGGATTCATTAATTGCACTAAATGAGAATTACAATATTAGTATCCGTTTAGTTGATATATGTCCCACCTTTTATTCTAAGGCACAAGACAGAGTATGTTGCCTTCTCCATATCTATCTTCTGTATGGGAGGATGAGTTGATTAATTAATTTTATTTATTTCGTCGCAAAGCTCATTGAGCTGAGGACGGGTTGGATCACAAGTCTCCCAAGTGCCAGTCCAATGTCTTAGGCACTACACTACAATATAAACCTAACATTAAAAAACCCTTAATTTTATAACAATACACAATTTTATTCAATCTGAATATTTCAGAATGAATTAAGGCCATTTCAAAATGGTGCTTGCTTCCAGGACAATGCCACATGGTCTCTAGTGGCATATCAGACTGCTTTCCTTCTTAAACAAAGTAGCTCTCTGGAGCTCCCCTTCTTAACAACAATGGGGAGAGCAGGGATTGGGATCACTGACCAAGGCTACAAGGCAATCACACTGGCACTTCACTTAGCAACTGTTATGTCTTGCGGGTGCAATATGCAGGGTCTATTTCAGTTATAAATTGAGGATTATCTTTAGCTTGTTGTTTTATTCATAGGAAAAAGAAACCCTATCTCTCTCTGATATGAAGTTTATGGCCCACCAGCAAAAGTATAGAAATTATAAAGCATATAAAGCTATTAAGTTATAAACCCTCATGTCTCTTTTATTAATTACAATTCTATAGCTCCATATCTGTAAGGATAATTGAAACATTTACTGCATTGTTAATATTCAATAACTAAACATATTAAAATTACAAAATAAATGCTTTTAGGTTTTTTTTCAGAAACCCACCCTCGGCCATTATATGTTGTCTTCAGAAAGTCAAAATGAAAATGCCATAGCATGCAAAAATAATAGCTTCCAAACAGGTAGCCTTCAATTTATAACCAGTTGCCAAGCAGCTAGCAGTCTTCATTACAGTTTTGAAGACTAATTGTACTCTCAAGCACTACACATCAATCAATGGACAAGTTACATAGTTACTCAATATATACCAAGGACTTCATTCTTCCAAAGTATATATCCTTGCAATAACATTTTAAGATATTTCAAGAAAAAGAAATATACTGTGTCTAGTAATCAAAGTCTGAAAAAAAAGAGATGTGATCGTAAAGCAAGACAACATATGACTGCCTCGCTTAGTGACAGTAACCCCACAGTCCCAGTTTCCATTGCTAACCAAGAATTGTGGGTCAGCTGCGTGATTCTGGAGCTGCTAGGAAGCTGTAACTATCCCAGTGCAGTCCAGCTATAGTAGCCCCCATCATTCTGCATTCCAAGACTTCCGCTGTCCTGTACTCTGCACCATAGCTGACCTTTGGT